GATTACTGATATTTATCAGATGTGTTATAAACATGAGACCAATCACTGCACCGTGCAACGTTGGACGACTCTCAATAGCATCAACTGTTGGCAAGTTTTGACTGCTTGTCAAGTAAATTCAAAGTTTTTCCTGTATTTAACATTTTATTACGTAAGATCTGGTTTTATGTATGACTTTCTGTTACGTTATACTAAATCGGATGTCGCCGTCATTTAAATTTGAAGACGTATTTGAGTATTATAGTGAAATATAACTAAGTCATGTTCAAAGAATTAACGTAACGTTAATCATTTTTAAAAATTACAACAAGGATAGACATTAAGAAACATTTACTAGCACAACGTTTTTAATTGGCATTAATTTACATGATATATTCTTTGCTTTCTGCTTACATTGAAGCTTTCTAAATATTACTAAAGCTGTTTATAACATGATGCTCGATAAAAACAATATAACCATTCTTGTTATAATACTTTTACTTTTATTCATACAAAGTACTATTTAGTTAAAATATTTATAAACTTTAAAACGAGGTTGTTTTAAATTTAGAATCTTCTAAATTCGAGCTGAATTGCGAAACATTGAAGGTTAGCCTATAATATTGTAATTATTTTAACATATTAAGGTCATTTTTTCCACTAACGTCATACATTTAATTCGATGTCGATATTTAACGAACAATTTGTAAACCCACCCTCTCTCTCTCCCAACTGTTCTTGCATCTCATAACAGAAATTCACTTTCCGTCCTCTGCTCACAAAAACAGCATTGTGAAGCGGATCAAGTTAACACAGGACATCAATTTTGAGCAACAGACACCGCACAAAGCTTAAGAATAAAACATTTTAAATGTATACCTTTATATATCAGAATATCTTATTAACAGATTTAACAAGCCCGTCAAAGAGAAGGGAAAGATGGTTCTTATTTTGTGGATTATTTGCTCAATATTTATTAAAGGTATTTTTTTTCCTCTAAAATCTTTTTATTTCTGAGATGTATATTTTAAATTAATACTTTTAAGAAACACGCGCTAGAAAAAATTGTTCAATTAATAAAGTGTAACTAGATAACTGTTTATTTTATTATACTCATTAATAAAAGAATAATATATTTGTATTTAAATAATAAAAATATGTGCATAAAAATAAGGATCAATAATGATACGGTACTTGAGTTTTGCAGTATGTCTCACACTTCATGTCGTTTTTACATGTACACTATCATAGCCATGATTATACTTTAATATAAACAGGTTTAACAGCCCAGACTCAACTCAAATCATTTACTCGTGTAGACCAAGTCGGATCTAATGTTGTCCTTACTGGGTCCACCATCATCGCCCACTCCCTGCTCCACTGTGCTATACACGTCTCAGAGCAATCCCAGTGTCTCAAGTATTTTTTCTACGACTCCGTGACCAAGACCTGCTCTGCTGGGGACGTTCTGCCTTCCCTCGATATTCCCGCGCCATCCCAGTTAACGTTTGATAACGTCTACCAGTTTGACAACCAAGACAGTCTTCACTCTTTAAACGATACAGCGATTAGAGTAATGAGCTCTACAGATGTAGTAACATACACACAAGCCAAAGAAAAATGTGACCTAGTTTGCGCTCATCTGCCCATGTTTGATAGCTTAGAGAAGTTTAGTGAAATAAGTGACGGGTTGTGGTACTGGGTAGGATGTGCAGACTTTAATGAAGACAACACGTTTCACTGGACCTACGATGGATCAGAGGTATCCAGCGTATTTTTAAACAACAGTGTTGATCCATCACAAAATCAACTGTCAACCACTCAAGCTGGGAACTGCTGTGTCTATTGCAATGTTCACAAAAAACTTCACATCCGACCTTGTGATGAACACAATAATTATATATGCGAAACATTTCAATGATTTAAGTTTTTTTTTTAAATACCTATTTATTTAATGCATATTAAATATAATTTAATAGCAATAAAACAATACATTATATTAAGCTAGATGCGTTTTAGTTTTATAACAATTTTTTCAAACGTCACATGTTTTTTCTAATCAAATTAGCCTATGTAGTTAGCCAAAGACAATAATTAAAACGTTTTAATTGTTTTGAAGAGATTACATGATCTTCATATTCTTAGCAAAATTAAGCTTATCTAGACACCGATCAATTCTTTTTTTTTAAAATAGATATACATCAGATTAAATACGGACCATGTTGTTTTTTTTCTATTTTTGAGTGATACAAGTACTTAATTTAAATCATATGTTTATTTAATTTCTGCATTTTGTTAACTATATTGTTACTGTTTGTGTATTTTAATTTTTTTTTAAGTTAATTACTTAATAAATGAAAATATTATCAATGCCATTATTAATTTTTGAACTGAAAGTTATTCACCTTAATTTAATACTCTATACAATCTTATATTATATTTTCCTTTATACATGTATATAGGTGATTTACATACTACTCGTATTTTTTTGTATAAGCCTTTTTTTCAGGTATTCATGAAACATAAATGATTTTACAATAAACTTTTTCTTCAAACATCAAATCACCTACAACTTTAAATAATTTTTTTTTCAGGTATTTAAAATTTCAATTATCTCAATATATTGATATGCATCCTGTATGATTATTAATAATTACTTTATAAATAGTTTGGTGTTTGATGTTCCTTCTCTGAATCACGATTTTAAAGAAAACAACAAATCTATATATATAATTCTCTTCTGTGAGCTGTTAGAAAACAAGCTGCAAGCGCCTCCTTGCAGTCCCCTCTCTTTCTCTCTATCACCATCACTACCACCCCCACCCCACCCCCACATTGTCTGGTGATCTGTGGTCACGCTAAATGTTTACAAAGCTAAATGTTTACAAATCTTAGAGCCGTAGAGCCGGGTTTCTATTAGGGGCAGATAATTTAGTTCGATTTTAAACTTACATTAGGTAACTAAGAAATAACTAAGAGGAGGCTGCTTTTATTTACTTATTTATTTATATATATATTTATATATATATCTATATTTAATAGTAATTTTTTTTAAAACCCAGACTAGTAATTTTCAGTGACAGTTTACTTTGAAAAATTCGAATTAGTATTATATTTTCATCATCGGCTTGCGAGGGCTGATCATGTGAATACGCGTATAACCCCAGCTATTATAACTTTGTAGATTATGACATAAACATTGTTTTAAACTTGATAGATATTGATCACCATGAGAGTAGATGTCTTTTAATTAAAATATTTTTTAAAACGTTGATGGAAAAAACGGCACGTGGGCCACTGAATAGATAACTATTTGTTTTATTTTTCCATGACCACTGATCTCAGGACATATGATCTCAGACAAAATATGCCAGACAGAATATCTCAAGGACAATTAATGCATTTGTGGCGAACATATTGTTAATGCAAAAAATATAAAATATGTGCTTCTTTAGTCTTGTATTTTTATAATATAACGAGCCGACCCGCTGCGTATCATACGCCGCTATTTAGTTGTTTTTTTTCTACTTTTCAGTAATTTATAATTTGTGAATTCGACAGTACCAATGCTGCCACTGAAAATATTTGCTTAAAAACACTAAATCCCCCCCCCCCCCCCCACGTGAAAGCAGCCTTCTCTTAGTTACCTCCTCCAAGTTTAAAATCGTTTCAAACTAAATTATCTGCCCCTAATAGCCGTCACCAAACCCGTCTCTATGATTGTAAAATGTAAACAGCGTGACCACAGCTCACCTGAAAATGTGGGGGTGGGGTGGGGGTGGTAGTGATAGAGAGAGAGAGAGAGAGGGGACTGCAAGGATGCGCTTGCAGCTTGTTTTCTAACGGCTCCCAGAAGAGAATTATGTATATAGACTACTGTTTTATCAAAATCTCTTTAAATTATAAGCAACGGTAGAAACTTGCGTCGTTTAAATCTACCCAGTTAAGCGGATATGCTCCGTTATTTTCTATTTTTTACAATTTAAGATCTAAAGCCTTTTGAATACTTTTAATGTTTTTGCCACATGAAAGTAAGTATTAAAAAACAACAAAATAGATGTTAAATATATTATGGTTGTCATGGAAACCCGAAAAAATTCCGCCATTTTAAATTTTTCGGTACTTGTAAAAGCGCTAGGGTTTTTTTTTAAAATTTATGCACTGATACCAACTAAATTTAAAAGGCTTTTATTTCAGCATATATTGAAACTTTTTTTACGACAACTTTTTGATAGAGGTTCTGGTCAGAATTTTATAAGAATATTCGAGAAACTTTAAGGGAGATCACTCCCGCTTAATGTATAATACTATATTTATTTTTAAATAATCACAGAGGACACATGTTAATTCAGCTACTCACACAAAATAGCTGTATTCACACACACACATTCACACACACATACACACTTCCAATTAAATAAATATTACCGTAAATGAGATGACAAATTACTATATTATTTACACTTACATTGTGTGAAAATAGGTTGTATTGTTATGGGGGGGGGGGTGCGAAGCATTATGCATTTGTAAAAGAATCAGCTTAGAGCGCTTATAATTATCAATTTGATCATAATGCTTTCTTTATACTTCGTATATACGATAAAGTAAAAAGTGCACACACATTACACACGTTATTACAGTTGAACTACACACGAACCGAGTGAATGGCTAATTAAAGATATATTGGTAGATTACAAATACACTACTAGGCTAGTTATAAATATGCAAGAAATATATGACACCATCATAGTCGTTTTTTTTACTCTATTAATGGCTAACACACGCACATTCAATCTAGGAGGTGTTTCAATTCTAGATAAATGTATACATGGGTTATTACATCATAATAGCAAAACAAACTCTGTTGTGGAGTTTTCAAAATATTTTTTTAAAATAAAACGTTTGGTTGAATGTTCTTGAACTTAAGCTTCTTATTCATCCTGACTATCAAAAAAATATTGCCTTAGTTAAATGTTTATTTAAAGATCCATTATTTTAATACAGCAATGTTCTCGGGTTGTTTACATTTGACAAAGTTTCATCTCAACAAAGTCGAGAGAGTTAGACCAACCTGTAATGCTAGCCCAATGAATTCCTTTATTTTCAACACGATTCGCCCATTCACCGTTGACGTTATTACCGTAACAATCACCATACCACCAACCACCTCTCCTGTCTACAGCACAGTTTCCACCTGACCACTCATCGTTATCAGAGTCAATGGTTGTAAACTTCTTGCCGTTGTGAACACTAAACCAGTTATCAACATTCCCACGACTGAATGACGTGAAGCTCATCTTATACTTTGCTGCTTCATTTTCTATTTTAAAACCTCTGTACGCAGCGTAGTAGTCTGTACCTTTATACTTCATGTCAAATCTTAGTTCATTATTAGACACAAAATTAGAAACATTTATAATATAAAATGGGTTAGTATTGTATAACAGTTTTTTGTTGAGTGGGAGTTATTTACAGGGGTAGTTTATCTAAGGGTAATGACATGGGAATATGAAGTGAGTATAATTTAAGAGGGTGGGAAGGTGGGCGATGTAATATTTTATACTCAGCTTCCCCTGATCCAAAAAAACATTTCTAGAGTTGAAATATTAAAAATAAATAAGTGTATCTCAGCTACTATTCAGGGATCATATAATTATACGAATAATGTGATATCTTGCGATATCTTTTTTTCGTTAATAGACTGCTTTTAAAAGCTGTATACGTACAAGTTGTGTCAATCGAGATGATGTAATATAGTTTATATCAACCAAAAAAGCATATTTCATAGGTAATCACACTTGTCATACTATTCACTATAATATTGTAACCCTCACTCAGTGTGGATGCTTTTACCCACTGAGATGTTGTGGTTAAGACGGGCTGACCCTGAGATTAAGTACACACTGACACCGACAGTTGTTGTCAAGTACTCCTTTATTCACAGCATCGAGCCATGACGGCGATGCAACACAGTAGTACGACGATTTCAAAGAGAAAATACTGAAGCAACAGGAAACCAAGAAAAAAAAAATAAAACTGTAGCCCTAAAACAAATGTAAATAAAAAGTTACATTCACGACAACACCACGTGTAGGCTACAATATACACGGGTAAAATAAAATATGTTTTGGCCAGTACACAGTACTGCCAACAAGTACCAATACGTAGTACTACAAATAAATACTTATATTAATACTCACCCTAACTAGTGTGCACATGCAGCACTAGTAGGAATACACAAATAAGTATTTTAACAAACATAATCTATATAACTACCTTCATTAGGTCTACATCTTGGTCACCGTGTCCACAGACAGCAGCCTTGCGTGTGACTGACACGGCTAGGCATGAAACTACCCACAGTCCTATGTCACATGACATGCGACACAGGTAACATCGCTCACAAGAGCACGGAAAAAACAACTAAGTCAACAGGGCCACGACCCCACAGGTGCCGCAACTCAATGAATTAGCACTTCATATTTTTCCCTCCCTTGGCTGGTAACCATATGTGTTACATGTTATTGTTTTCGATTTTTAAAGTTAATTCCTTATCTTGTATTTAGCTTTAAAGATATGCACATTATGAACCTCTGCAAGTTTTCACATACATATAAAATTGCTCTTCGTATGAAAAAAAAAATAATGTTATTTATATTTCTCGTAATATAAAAATAGAATGACTATTCCCTATTGTTTGCAAATAACTAGTGTTAAATAAAAAAAATGACTAACCATCATAAGTAATTTAAAAACATTACTCGTGACGATTCCTAAAGCATATGATATTTGCAAAATAGAAATTTAAATAAAAAGAAAAATGTATTAAATCATGTCCGTAAATGAAATTAGTAAGACAAAAATAGCAAGACTTATTAGTTTTAAAATTTTAGTGTTGGGTAAAGTTCCAAAAATACACAAGCAGGTCCTACGACATTAAAAATATCCAAAAGTAATAAATATGCAATCCTGCAGATTGAGCTTTAGCCTAAACACTTAAACAGCATTATCTGGCTTAAAGGGTTATAAAGTCAGCTATCTACATCTTTAGAATAGTCGGTTCTGAAAGGCTAATATGTCAGCTATTTATTCATCAGTCGTAACAAGTCAACCAAGAGATGTTTTAAAAACGAAAGCATAACAACTAATCGTTTATAAAGATTGGACTGTAAACAACAAACTGAACCTTTAATTATACAAAACGAAATTAATTTGAGATGGTTTTAGCAACGTGCGATCATAATAGTTTGTTTAATTCAATTATTTCTTCAATTAAGTAATTTAGTACACCTTATAAATATAATGTTTTCAAGCATCATTTTGATGAAAACTTGACTTGAGTAAACCGACTTTAAGTGATGTCATCTATGGTGCCAATGTGTGTATGCGCTAGTGTATATCTCCAGTTTTGAATGTTTGTGCAACTGTATGTTTATAGTAGTGTTTGTTTGCACTAGCGTATATTTCAAATATTGTATGTTAGTATTTCTATATGTACAATATAATATGTACAATATAATATGTAAATTGTAATTTAATTTAATTGAATCTGACGGCCTTCATTAGTGTTGTATTACTTGAACTTTGTCTTTTACAAAAAACATGTGCATGGGATAATATAATGTTTTCAAGCATCATTTTGATGAAAACTTGACTTGAGTAAACCGACTTTAAGTGATGTCATCTATGGTGCCAATGTGTGTATGCGCTAGTGTATATCTCCAGTTTGTGCAACTGTATGTTTATAGTAGTGTTTGTTTGCACTAGCGTATATTTCAAATATTGTATGTTAGTATTTCTATATGTACAATATAATATGTACAATATAATATGTAAATTGTAATTTAATTTAATTGAATCTGACGGCCTTCATTAGTGTTGTATTACTTGAACTTTGTCTTTTACAAAAAACATGTGCATGGGATAACGTAATTTAGCCGACGACTTATTTACGTTCTGTAACTTACACTGGCACAACCATACACTGCCACAAATATAAACTAGTACAAACATACACTAGTACAAACACACACTAGTTCAAACATACACTAAATCAATTATGTACAAGCGCAATAACAGAGCTGTTTAATATGCAATAAAATTATGTCACGCGACATACATACATTCAATAAATATTTACAAAACCAAAGAAATCATCATTAAAGATGAATTGGTTTATTATTCTTAAAAGTAATTTGCAAAACGTGCTTGAAATAAACAAAATAAAATTAATTTGAAAACAGGCTAATTAGGTAAAGAAAAAAAAATGCACAAGGATGATTTTGTATTTGGCCAATAAAAAGGCAGGCTATCAAGGTTGTGCACACATTGCGTGAGCCTAAAGACTCAATAGGAATAGGTTTTATAGATGTTTCATTGTGTAACACATGTGAGGGGGTACAGCTGTGAAAATCTAAGATCTCAAGAGATGAAATTTATAGATTTATTATATAGAATATCAGACAGCAATATACGTACTGTATTTGTGAGTAGAGTTTAGTCCAACATTGTTATTGATTAATTTCCAATCAATCAAGAAGATAGACGACGTAGAAGTCAATGATTTCTCTTCAAAACAAGATTGGTTTTTGTGATTGTTTCACCCGACGGGCCAGTGAATGGAGATCGCCTGATTAGTATGTTCTAGAAGTTTAATGTTAATACAATTTTAAAATTAACGATGATTGAATATTTTGTTCAAGTAATTTAAGGTCAATTAATTTTTAAAATTAACGATGATGGACTATTTTTTCTATTAGTTTAAGGTCAATAAAATGTTAAAGTTAACGATGATAGAATATTTTGTTCTAGTTTTTTTAATGTCAATATTATATTAAACTTAACGTTACTGGAGCATTTTAGTTGTTCACTAAAACCCATGCCAATAACAATAAAAAAGGTAAAGCGTTCTAGTTTAAATTAACGTAATAGACCACGTTCTTCTTATTTCAAGATCCTAGATGTTAAAAAAAGTAATTTCAAACAGGTCAGTTATGAGGTTTGGGCTAGAAAGGTTTTAGTACCCTGGTTAAAAATAATTACTCAACACCTGTGGCACAAGACTGTAAAATTATTGATTCTTCAAGATTACATTAAAATATTAAATACTACACATAACAAATCCGATTGGGATTTTTTTACGCAAATTGGACAAACAAACAGACAGACAGACATACATTTCTTTATATATATATATAATTAGATAGATAGATATATGGCAACATGGTTTTAAACTTTATGCATATTGATCACTATTGAATCATTATGATAATTTAGAGGGTAAAAAATAACGGCACGTGGGCCACTGAGTAGAATATTATTTGTTATATTTGTCCTTGACCAATGATCTCAGGACTCATGATCTTAGACATTAACGCTTTAAAGACAAAAATATTTATGTGCATAATTGAAAAAAAATGTGTTCTTCTATAGTGTTGTAGTTTTATATTTTAAACGCTGTTTTTATTGAAGTTAGCAATACTAACACCCCCCTCCCCCCAATTCCATCCTACCAACTTAAGTCGTCGATTGTTTTGGGCTGCCCCAGACTCGTATTTTGAAAACTAAAGTATTGATGAAAACACATTTTTGCTTGATTAACTCTTATACAACAGCTGTCACAAGTTTAATGAAACCAACTCAAATGTTTTTCATTACGCCAATCATCACTGCTGGCAATCCTAGTTTTTCTTTAAACCAAAATCGTTAAAGAACAGCTGTAAATGTTTAAAACTACAGCTAGACGGCAGCTGTCATAATTTGTTAATACAAATATTTCTGTTAAAACCAGTTTGTGTATAAGTTATCTCAGGAATTGTGTTGAAATAAATGAGTAAATCTTATAAACAAAACGATAAAATCAACACATACAAAGGTTCTACTATTATCAGCATTCGCTATTCCATGTATTCAATTTATATTTATTTCAATTATATGCTAAACATTTAAACCAGTAAATCAGCATGTCATTCAAACTCGGGATCTACTTATTATGGGTTTCCAATCACATATAAATGTTTTTGTTCAAGGCTTGTCAGTCATTCACACTCTGGACAGAAAATGTAGAGTTATATGAAACACAATTTAAAATGTCATTATGTTGGTAAGATTGTAGGACAGGTGTGGTAAACAGCGGACAGGCACAAGAAAACGTGGGTCACTCATGTAATCTAGAAAAAACATATATGTTTAGCTCAATACAATATAAACCAAGTACTGTTATTTAAGAATATTCGAGAAAGTTTAAGGGAGATCACTCCCGCTTTATGTATATTACTATATATATATTCCTGAATAATCACAGAGAACAAATGTTAATTCAGCTACTCACAAAAAATAGCTGTATTCCACCCACTCTCTGCTCCTTTATACA